GAAGATTTTGAAGAACAAGTAGAAGCGCCCGTGGGCACTTCTTTTTTGCGAGGGGTTCTTGACCACTTATGATTTTTGAGGGGCGAGTGCGCGCGCGCATTTTTTTCGCAAGGGGTGGCGGGGGGCGGGGCGACGCCGGCCTCCCAGGGGCATTGTTCGGGTGGGCGATGGGGCAGAACCATATGCACATTGCATTGCGACAAGGAGAATCGTTAAGTCCTGGGGGGGGGGGGGGGGGGTAGGACCTATGTCCTTTTTTAGGCGGAGAATTGATTTTAACAAAAGAACGGACGCATCCCGTGCTCTTGCAAACACCCCGCCCGCCCGCCCGCAATCTGGTTTGCAAAACCCACGCGGTGGCCATTGCAATGCTTGCTTGGCGTTGGCTGGTGCACCTCTGCGGCCGCGCCAACCTTAGCGCGCGCGCGCAGCGGCCAGCTAGTTTGGCGCCGCCGACGCGGCCGCGGTGGCGTTGACCACTGGGCGCATCCCAACGGGCACTTCACTGCGAGTCGGCAACTTCGGCGGGCGCGGTACCTTGGCAACGCCGACTACGGTAGACACGATGGTGGCAGTGGCGATGCTGGCGACGATGTTCGCACCGCTGGCGCCGCGGCCTGCGCGGGCGCCGATGCTGATCACGCCGCGCCGACGACGATGACGGCGCCCTCGCGTCGGTGGGAAGGTGTTGGAAATAGTTCGACATGCGTGCATGGCCGACGCGCCCGAGTGGTCCGCATGGTTTTTTTGACGCGGATCGCGCCCCTTCCCCCCCCCCCGGCGCGCGCAAGGGCGCGCGAATGATGTCGGCCTGCTGCGCCGGGGGTCTGTTTGGCAGAAGGCCATGGACATGTTGAGCAACTTGTGGTTTTCTCAAGAATTCGCAAGAGTGCGCGTGCAACTTGTTTGGAAACTGGCGTTGCGAAACCATGTGCTGTTGAATGTGGTTTTTGCATTCGGCTTTGAACTCGCTGCGAAACTTCATATTTGTTCAGGGATTCTGGCATGCGCGCGCGAAGCCCGCTTGGTTGCATTCTCTGGGGGTGGTGAATAGGCGATGGTTTCCCCAAGGATTCGCCAGGGCGCAGGCGCGCGTTATTTTTGTTTTTGAATTCCGTGTTGCGGAACTCTGTTGTCTTATTTTTTGCATAAAATATGTTTTCGGGGCGCTCGGTATTGCAACCCTTCCGAAACCGACGGTTTTCTTGCGATGCCTGCATGCGCGCGACGACGCGCGCGCACTTCGTTTCATTTGTTGCAGAAGGTTCTCGCGACGGCATGCGCGCAAAGGCGTTCAATCGATTTCGACATGCGCGCGCGAAGCCCGTTTGTAAGCATTTTTTGAAAATGATGAGACACTTATGTATCCCCCAAGAATTCCCAAACACACGCGCGTGTTTTTTGTTTTGAACATCCGCGTAACGAAATGATGTTATATATATGTGTATGTGTGTGTGCGTAGATGTATGCATGTATATATGCGTGTTTTTTTTTTGGACACTCGATCTCGACATCCTTCCGAAACCAAATGTGTTCAAAGGATTTTGGCATGCGCGCGCGACGACGCGCCCGTGTCCAGTTTGGCTTTTTGCAAGAGATTTCCGAAACCCATAATTTTCCATAAGCGAGTGCGCGCGCATAGTACTTCTCCAGAGGATGAAAAGGGGGGGTCGAGCCCAACCGGGCTGGGATGGGGCGAGCTTGTGTGCACAATGGACGATGGGTCAGAATCGCATGTGCATTGCAACACAAAAGTGCACCGATAATGCCGGGGGGGGATCCGAATAACTTTTTCAGTTACGTGGTGCACTTTGCGTTGTGCACTGTGCTGAAATATAGGTGGTGTAACCTACGTGGTGCAATCCAGGCTGCGCGCTCCATGTGATGCAATGGAAGTTGCGCAGTCCATGTGGTGCAGTCGATGTGGCGCAATTTATGTGTGTTCGCAGTGAGTTGCCAACTCCACTGCTCGCGCAACCATCCCACCCACCCGCCCGCAAGTTGGTTTGCAAAAGCCATGCGGTGGAGATTGCGATGAGTGCTTGGCGTTGGCCGCTCCATCTCTTGCGCCCGCGCCAACCCAAGCGCGCGCGAGCAGCGGCCAGCTAGTTTGGCGCGACAGACGCGGCCGCGGTGGCGCTGACCGCTTTGCACATCCAAGCGGGCATTTCAGTCCGAGTCGGCGACTTGGGCGGGCGCGGTATCATGGCAACGTAGACAACGGTAGACGCGATGATAATCGTAGCGATGTTGGCGACGATGTTGACATGGACGACGGCGCGGCCAGTGCGTGCGCCGATGCTGGTCACAATGGCGACGATGACGGCGCCCTCGGGTCAGATGCAGGTTCTGGTGAAAAAGTGGGCGGCCGCCGCGCGGGAGAGGCCCGCGTAGTTGAAGTTTGACGCGGACCGCGCCCCCCCCCCAAAAAAAAACACGGGCGCATGGGCGCGCGAATGATTTTGGCATGCGGCGCGAGGGACTTGTTTGGCACAGCCCCATGACAACGTTGAACAAGGTTTTCCCAAATAATTCGCAAGAGCGCGAGCGCACGCTGTTTTGAACACTGGCGTTGCAAAACCATGTGTTTTCTATGTTGGTTGGATACTCGGTTTTTGAGCCGCTACTCAATCGAAGGTTTTTGACGGGTTTCCGCATTGGCGCGCGGCGACGCGCGCTCGCACAACGTCCCATCAGTTGCAAGATATTCTCGCGACGGCACGCTTGCAAGGGAGTTCGTGCGATTTCGACATGCGCGCGCGAAACCCGCTTGGAAACATGTTCGGACAACGATGGCAATTCCATGTTTTTTTTGAAGAATTCGCAAGAGCGCGCGCGCACGTTTGTTTGGAAATCCCTGTTGCGAAAGGATGTTATATGTTATCCGGGACAGTTGTTTTTGACATCTCTCCGAACCCGATGGTTTTCGAAGGGTTCCGGCATGCGCACGCGACGACGGGCCCGTGTGCTTTTCGTTTTCTGGTGCAACGGATTTTTGAAAACTCGTGCTTCGTGATGCGCGAGCTCGCTCGCATGATTTTGGGCAAAAGATGGATGGGGGGCGATACCGGCCCCCCTGGGATCGTGTAGGTTCATATAAAGGATGGACGATGGGCAGGGTCATATGCAAATTGCAATACGAAACAGGCGACCGATAATCCCGGGGGGGGGCGAGTCTATATTCTTTTTGTAGAAGAGATATCATATGTTGCGCAAGTGCGGGATCTATGCTATGCAATCTGGGCGGCGCAATCCTTGTGTTGCAGCCTGTGCGGCCCAATCTGTGTTGCGCATGCAATCTAGGGCGGCGACGGGGCGGCGATAGCGGCCACAGCCGCCAGAGCGGCAGACAGGCCCAGACGACGGGCTGCGACGAGACGGCGACGGGACGGCGACGGCGGCCACATAGCCGCCAGGCCGAAAACACGGCTCAGACGACGGGCGGCGACGAGGCGGCGACGGGGTGGCGACGGCGGCCACATAGCCTCAAGAACGAAAACGCGGCCCAGTTTCTTCGAACAGAAGGAAAAACTATAAGTGTAAGCGCTGTTTTGGGAATCGGCGATTTCTGGTTCTTGGGACCCTCTTGAGAGTGCACTTGGGGGCCTCCTGTGGCGTCTTGGGTGCGTTTTCGGCCGTCCTGGGGCCATCTTGGGCGTCTTGGACCGATTGTGCTGCGATTCGGCGCCTTGTTGGACCGTCTGGGCGGCCTCTTGGGGCCCTCTTGGCCCGTCTTGGGGCCTCCGTGGCCACGAGCAAGTTGCGCGACAAGACGCGGGGAGCCGCGCGGGGCACGCCAGGAACCCCACGAGACTCGAGAACCTGGAATCCCGGTCTGTAAAAAAATGTTTGTGGATTGAGGATCCTCGGGCTCCACGCCGCCCGTCCGCCAGGCACACGCCCCGCACACACACACACACGCACACACACACACACAAACACACACAAACACACACAAACACACACACACACACACACGCACGCACGCACGCACGCACGCACGCACGCACGCACGCACGCACGCACGCACGCACGCACGCACGCACGCACGCACGCACGCACGCACGCACGCACGCACGCACGCACGCACGCACGCACGCACGCACGCACGCACGCACGCACGCACGCGCACGCACGCACGCACGCACGCGCACGCACGCGCACGCACGCACGCACGCACGCCACGCACGCACGCACGCACGCACGCACGCACGCACGCACGCACGCACGCACGCACGCACGCACACACACGCGCGCGCGCAACGCACGCACGCACGCACGCACGCACGCACGCACGCACGCACGCACGCACGCACGTACGCACACACGCGCGCGCGCACGCACGCACGCACGCACGCACGCACGCACGCACGCACTCACGCACGCACGCACGCACGCACACACGCACACGCACACGCACACGCACACACATACACACACACTGTGCACCTCCTCACCCCGCCCCCCTGGCACACATCCTGTACACGCCGGCGCACACGCGCGCACTCACGCACGCAGCCGCACACGCAGGCACACGCTGGCACGCGCACACACGTGCACATGCACGTGCGCACACACAGGCATAGGCCATGCGCAACACGTGACCGAAGCAACCGCAGGCAACCACTAAACACGAGCTGCCAATGGCGACCCTCTGGGCACTTAGGGGAGCCAGGCGACTGCATCCATGTGCACGCACGGACGTTGGTTGCGAATCCATGCGCGCGTGCGCACGCAAGCTCAGAGAAGCAGCGCTTCCCGTTCTTGTCCGGAAAGGTTTCTATGCGTCCCCTGGCGTCCCTGGGCCGCCCCCCTTCTGCGACGCCCCCCTCCTGGACACCCCCCTTTTGGACGCCCCCGACGCCACCCTTGCCTTGCTTTCGCCTTCTGGGGCCTCATGAGGGGCCCTCGTCACCACCGTCGGATGCGCCTCGAAATCCTGGTCCGAACGCACCCCGGGAGAGGTCTGGGGAGCAGCGGTCCCAGTAGTTGCTGGTCGTTCCGGCGAGGAGCACCACGTCTTTGTCATCGGCGACTGGGGCGGGATCATGAAGGACGGGCAGCCGCCAGTCCCCGCTGATCACCGCGCGCCCGGGTTCAAACACGAGAGGGAGTTCGTGGATGGCGTCGACGACTGCGCCCAGCAGAGAGTGGCGGAGCAGATGAAGGCGAGGGCCGGCGAGAAGAACCCCGACTACGTGATCAACCTGGCAGACAACTTCTACTGGGCCGGCATTGACACGCAGTGCGGGGGGCCGTGCTACGAGTTCGCAGACGACACGGGCCAGTGGGCCCAGGGCTTCGAGAACGTGTACAACGGCCCAGGACTGGATGGCAAGCAGTGGTTGGGCGTCCTTGGGAATCACGACTACGGCGGCTGGATGTTCAACAAGGGCTGGGACCGTATTGTCGCTTACACCTGGGCGTCTGACCGGTGGATGACGCCTGCTTTGTATTGGGCTGCGAAAGTAAATTACGGGGACTTCACGGTGGACTATGCATTAGCGTTGCCGCGCATATCCGCCATAACGCTGTGGGAGTGGTGCTTGGGGGGGGGCAGGAGAGTGTCAGTAGGGGTTGGGCCGTTGTGGGGGCAACGCAGCCTCTCAACCCGCCACCCGCGACCTCACTGTTGGCTCGTTGTTTCTTGTGGTGGGGGGGGCAACAATACCTGAAGGACGTGGAGTGTAGGATGGACGCATGCTGGCCTCGATCCTAGATGTTGTTTCGCCCCAAAGGAAACAAACACCAGCAGTGGACGCGCACGCACATCGCGGCAAACACGCATTTCACATGAAACTGGGCCTCGTGCATGTACACACGCATTTCGCGGTACAGCGGTGTGTCGGATTTCTTCACAGATTCCAACGTCTGGGACACGTGGGAACCAGACTCTGATGAAGAGGCCTCGCACAACATCTGCGGCAGGAAGCACAACGAGGAGGGTGCGTCCTGTGGACCGCAGGGTCCCGAGTCGTTGGAAGCTTGCCCTGGCTGGTTTAAGAATTTGTGGTCGCAGCAGTGGGAGTGGCTCGAAAAGGAGTTGCCCCTATCCGACGCGGACTGGAAGGTTGTGGTCACACATTTCCCTCCGATCATCCCGAAGTGGGGCAGCGACGACTGGGCGGGGCTCGCCAATGCTCACGGTATCGACCTATTCATCTCAAGCCACATACACCAACAGCAAGTGATCCCCCCGAACGCGCCCGGCAACCTGCTAGGCGGGGCCGCCATCATCATCTCGGGCGGTGGAGGCGGCGTGACTTCCGAAGATCCACCAAACCCTGGTGGAGACGACGACCAGTACGGCTTCTTTGATATTACGTTCTCTGCGTCTGAGATCTCGATAGATGCCATCACGCACGGTGGACAGGTCAGGGGTACCACCAAGATCTTTCCCAGGCGAAGGAGGCTCGGCGCACAGAGCGAAATGGTCATCTGAGCTGCCCTTGACTTGCCTGGCCCAATAGAGGCAATGGCGGGCAGGCCTGCCATGCGAAATCATGCGTGTGGAGGGAAGGGGGAGGGTCGGGGGCGGAGGGGCCTGGGGAGTGCTTCCGCAGTTCCGCATCGGGCTTGTGCCGCACTCAGACCCCAATCACTTGCCATGAGGACATTCACTGGACATGTATAGGTCCTGTGTCTTGATTGCCTGTCGGCCGGAGCCTCGAGGCAGCACACGTCTCGCGAAGGCCACACGGAGTGCAAGCATTAGACAGAGGTCCGACCCGTTCGTGCCCTGGGAATGAAGGCGTGCCGGCAGGTTTGTGTAGCAGCGCCCATCCGCTGGCAAAGCACATCGGGTGATCGCGCGTACACGTTGTCGCAGCACGAGAGGTTGCCGTGCGAATGCGTCAAATTCTGCAGGATGGCGGCCACTGAACTCTTGCGACGTCCGCGGGTCTCTCGGCACGAGCCAGAAGTTGGTTCCATTTGTTTCCTCCCGGGCCCCCTCTTCGTGTTCATACACGTGCCCATACCGATACCCATGCCGATGCTTATCTATTTGGCATGCGCATCCCCATATGTACCCATGCTCTGATGTTTGTATGCATTTCCTTTCTCCTACCAAAGTGCACGGGCAGCCTTCCTCCAAAAAATCGAGGATCGCCTTTCTGCGCAGACGTTTTGCCGGATTCTGAAACTGTGGGCTTGCTCCGACCCATGCAGATTCTATTCAAATTCCTGGAAGATCACATTCTCAGCGCGGCATGCCCATACCAAGTTCCACCATGCAGCAGCCTCCTCAGTGAAGGCTGTGTGCACGTTGTTGACGATTCGCGTATCCCCAGCAGCCCATCCAGAGTCGATCCCCAGGCGAGCGTCCTTGACTATGGAGCGCAGGGGGCTACAGTGAATTCCTCTTCGCATCTTCTTCTTCCTCCTTGACCTGACTCTTCCTCTCCACTCCCCCTGCTTCAAGTCCCCTCCCCCAGGAGGAGGAGGAGGAAGAGGAGGAGGAGGGGGAGGACCAGTGCAAACCCAAGACTCATCAACGATGTTTGAATACACCCTCCCTCCAAGCTCCAAGCTCCCTTGTCATAGGCTCCTACAAGGGCTCACTTCCACTACGGGAATGGGCCCGTTGGGGGACAAAAGTGTGATCATCTTGAAGCGTGACAAAACACCATCCTCAGGACTTCAACGCCACGAGTTCACCTGGTTGTGAGGTCTTGGCGGTCCTCCACCGTGCCAGAACACCATTCCTGGGATTCAACACCGCGAATCAACGTAACTGTCGCGCCCTGACAGTCATGAATCTGTCCAAAACACCGTGTCTGGAACGATACCAATGAGAAACGGCAAAACTCTTGCACACTCCTAGGACACATGTTTGCGGCGCTATGGCGAGAGCCACATGTTGAAAAGGAACCGCCCTCAATCCGTGAAGCTCTTGCACACTTTTTAAGACGAATGTGCGCGGCGTTCTGGCGAGAGCCACAGTTTGAGAACCGTTGCTCTCAATCCGTTTAGCTCTTTCAAGCGAATGTGAGAGCCACATTTTGAAAACTGCCGTCCCTGCATTCGTGGAGCTGTTGTCGAGGTGTACGCTTCAGGGCCATAGGTGGTGAGGACGCCTCAAGCGACACGCTCGTCCCGCCCGTTCGACAGGCCCCGGGGTGCGACAGGGAGGAGCTACCTACAAGGAGGAGGAATGGAGGAGGAGGAGGAGGAGGAGGAGGAGGATCAGGGAGCAGGGAGGAGGAGGAAGAGGAGGAGGACGAGGAGAAGGAGGATGAGGAGGAGGAGGACCAGGGACAAGGAAGAGGGAGGAAGTGAGGAGGAGAGGAAGGGTGGAGGAGGAGGGGGGAGGGGGAGGAGGAGGAGGAGGATCTGGAGGAGGATATGGAGGAGGAGATGGAGGAGGAGGAGGAGGAAGAGGGGGAGGAGAAGGAGGAGATGGAGGGGAGGAGGAGGAGGAGGAGGAGGAGGACCAGTGCAAACCCAAGACTCATGAACGATGTTGGAATCCCCCCCTCTTCAAGTTCCCGCTATATCGGCCCCATACAAGGGCTCATTTCCACTACGGGAGTTGCCCCGTTGGGGGCAACCGTGTAAACATCCTGAAGCGGACAAGACATCATTCTCAGGACTTCAGCGCCACCCTATCACTTGATTGCGAAGTCGTGGCGATCTTCCATCGTGCCAGAGCGCCATTCCTGGGATTTCAACACCGCGAATTAACGTAATGGTTGCGCCCTGGCAATCATGAGTCTGTCCAAAAACCGTATCTGACACGTTACCAATACGAAACATCACATGTCTTGCAAATTTCTAGAGCACTTGTTCGCGGCGCTGTGGCGAGAGCCACATGTTGAAAAGGAACCGCCCTCAATTCGTGAAGCTCTTGCACTCTTGTTTAAGACGAATGCGCGCGGCGTTCTAGCGAGAGCTACATTTTGAAAACCGTTCGCTCCCAATTCGCGCAGCTCTTGCAACTGTTTAAAACGAATGTGCGCGGCGCTCAGGCGAGAGCCACCTTTTAAGAACCGTTCGCCCTCAATCCGGGAAGCTCCTGCAAACTTTTACGACGAATGTTCGCGGCTCCCTGGCGAGAGCCACATTTTGAAAACGACCTGCCATTAATCCGTGAAACCTTCGCAAGTCTTTAAAACGAATGTGCGAAGGGCTAATGCGAGAGCGACATTTTGAAAACCTCCCGCCCTCCATTCGTGAAGCGGTTGTCAAGTTGTAAGCTTCAGGGCCATACCTGGTCAGGACGTCTGAAGCGAAACGCTTGTCCCGCCATTCCGACAGGCCTCGGGATGCGAAACGGATCAGTTATCTATCAGGAAGAAGAGGAAGAGGAGGAGGAGGAGGACGAGGAGGAGGAGGAGGAGGTGGAGGACCATGGAGCAGGAGGAGGAGGAGCAGGACCAGGGAGCAGGGAGTAGGGATGAGGATGAGGAGGAGGAGGAGCAGCAGGAGCAGGAGCAGGAGCAGGAAAGAGGAGGGGAGGAGGGATCCGGGGGCAAGGGCGAGGGAGGAGGGGGGGGGGGGGGCAGGGGGGCAGGCGGGGCGTTCTTCTTGTCCTCTTCTTCTCCTATCCTGTGGTGGCTGTGGCTGCGCAGGATCCTCCTCCTCCTCCTCCTCGCCCTCCTCCTCCTCCTCTTCCTCCTCCTCCTCCTCCTCCTCCTCGCCCTCCTCCTCCGCCTCCTCCTCTTCCGCCCCGTGCGGGAGGGGCGCCGTCGGCGGATGAGGCGCCCGCCACCTCGCGCGCACCCGAAGGTGACCCTGCGCAAGGCGGCGGCCGCCCGGGCCCACGTCGCGGCGCCCTCCTCGGCTGGCTGCGCGAGGGCCTGCTCGGGGGTAGGAGGAGGGAGGAGGATGGAGGAGGAGGAGGAGAGGAGGAGGAGGGGAGGAGGAGGAGGAGGAGGAGGAGGAGGAGGAGGGAGGAGGAAGGAGGAGGAGTGGAGGAGGCGAGGAGGAGGCGGAGGATTAGGAGGAGGAGGAGGAGGAGGAGTCTGAGGAGGCGGAGGGAGGAGGGAGGAGGGAGGGGGAGGAGGAGGGAGGAGGAGGGCAGGAGGGGAGGAGGGAGGAGGGAGGAGGGAGGAGGGAGGCTGGAGGAGGGCGGAGGGAGGAGGGAGTGAGGAGGAGGGAGGAGGAGGAGGAGGAGGGAGTGCGGGAGAGGAGGAGGAGGAGCGAGGAGGAGGAGGAGGGAGGAGGAGGAGGGAGGAGGAGGAGGAGGAGGAGGAGGAGCAGGGGGGCGGCGCGCGCGGCTCCGCGGCCTCGATGTCGGCGATGCGTCAGAGCGACCTGCAGGGCTCAGCTCTTGATCCCTCCCCACTCGAGCCGGCTCGATCTCGATGGATACGTCGATGCCGGTTCGGCTCGGCGTCGGATTCCGAATTGGGCTCCGACGTCTCAACGGAGGTCGACTAGCTGGCCGACTCCCGCCGATTCGACTTCTCGCGGCTCGGCTGCCGATTTCCGCCGATCCGATTCGTTCCGATTGCCGATCCGGCTGCTTGATTCGATTCTGGGCTCTCCTGACCTTTCGCTGGAGTGACCTTTGGTGCGGTCACACGGGGGCCCTCAGATTGCTGAAGGCCATGCGGTAGCAGCGGCCTGCGCGCTCCGATTCGGCCTTCCCGCGGCCCCCGAAAGTTGCGCGCCATAGGTCACTCTTGCCTGGGACCACTCTTGCGTGTGGCCGATCTTTCTTGGGGCCCACTCCAACGGATCTGTTCGACTCGCGTCCGCCTCCCACTTCGGCTCTCAGGTCGGCTCCAGCTCGACTCCAGCACGACTCAGGTTCCACCCAACTCCGTCCCGAGCTCGACCCCAGCTCGACTCCCGAGTTAGTTCGACGCCTAGCTCGGCTCAATCCCGACGCAGGTTCGACTCAGGCCTGGCTCAAGTCGATGGACGTTCGACGCAGCATCCACGCACCCGCGTCCCCCCCCCCCAGTGGCGTGCGAAGGGCTCAACCCTGTGACCGCCAGTCCTGGGAACCTACACTGGCGACTCGGAAGAAATACGTGAGGAGGGCTTTCGCCCAGTTCGGCTTTGGCTTTTCTTTTATGTCTTTACTTTATTTGTTATTTTTTTTTTTTTTTTTTTTTTTTTTTTTTGTTTTTTTTTTGTTTTATTCTATTTTTTTTTTTTTTTTTTTTCCCCTTCTTTACGGTTTTTTTTTCCGGGGCCGCCATGCTAGGAATGAACGGCCCCCTCTGGGGTGGGATGGAGTGTTTTTCCGAAGGGCTTCGCCGACCTGTCATCCTCCTCATGCTCATACTACTCCATCAGCATCATAATACTACTGACATCCTGAGAAGCCGAAGCCTACCCCTTCTAACATCACCCCACGGGCAAATATCACTGAATCCCTCTCCTGCCCTCCCCTCCTCCCTCCCTCCCTCCTCCTCCTCCTCCTCCTCTTCCTCCTCTCCTCCTCCTCCTCCTCCTCCTCCTCCTCCTCCTCCTCCTCCTCCTCCTCCTCCTCCTCCTCCTGCTCATCCTGCTCCTCCTCCTCCTCCTCCTCCTCCTCCTCCTCCTCCTCCTCCTCCTCCTCCTCCTCCTCGGGTCGCCTACGGTCCCGAGGGAAACCGTGCAGGAAGGGATGTCAGAAGAGGTCTGGAGACGGGCGACCTGAAGCGTCGGGCCGTCAGAGGTCATACGGGGTCCGCTCCGGTTTGCCATCGCCGACACCCGCCTCTGATCCACCCCGGTCGCTTGGGGAGCTGGTGTCCGTTTCCAGTCGCCCACGGAATGTACGGTCGGGAGCTTTGGGCTGCGTGTCGCTCGACAGGTTGTGGACCACCACGTTTCGATGATCCTCAGGACGTGCGTTAGCCCAACGTGTGTTCGTCCCCTTCAGCCCAACCAGTAGACCATTACATCGCCTGCGCCGTATCGAAAGGCCTCCAAGGACAAGCACACGTTAGGGCTAACACACGTTCTGAGGATCACCGAACGCCGCGGCACGACACGCTGTCCACATCTGCGTCAATGTCCCGAGCTTTCCCGCGCCTCCCGCCGCGCGGAGCGGAGCGGCACGCCATCCGCTCGCAGGGCACAGCGTGGCGCCGGGGGCTGCCGCCGCGGCGTGCTGGACAACGGTTCCCGACCGCAGCCCATGGAGCGCAGGGGAA